CCCCCTAACCCCCCCCCCCCTCTCTCCTCTCTCTCTCTCTCTTCATCATCTTCTTCTTCAACACTTTTTTTCAGATTTTTCTTCGAAACCCACCTCAAACTCAAAATACCCAGTAAAGAATTCCATACAAAAAGGGTAAATGATGAGAGTTTTCATTAGTTTTCTCCTCTGTTTACTCTCTGTAACTTGTGCAGCCACTCCAATCACCAACCCCATTTGCCCATTGGACCTTAACTATGTCCTTAGAATCCCATGGACCGCCACCGATTGCCGGAACCCCTTCTTCCAGACCACTGCCAAATCTGCCATGAATGATACCTCCAAGTTCCATTGTTGTCAAACCCTCTTGTCCTTGTTTGGAATCGCTTTGGCCCAACACCTCAAACAAACCTCTCATTTCAACCTCCCAGACCTCGCAACCTCCAATTCTTGCCTTCTTGATTACCAGTCCAAACTCTCCTCTCTCTCCCTTCCTGCCAACCTTGTTTCCCATTGCTTTGATCCCTTACAATTTGTGATATCAGCTAATGTCTGTGCTGGTATTCAAACCACGCGAGATTGGGTTTCAAAACTTGGCCAGAACTCGCCTCTTGATTCTGGGTGTCGGTCGAATCTTGTTGGTTCTGGTTGTGATGCTTGTGTGGCTGCTGGTTTCAAAGTTCAAGCTATTTTGACAGGAATTGATGGTAATAAATCTCATTCCATGGATTGCTTTTACTTTGCCGTTCTTTATGCTGCTGCCATTGTGAATGAATCTGGCCCTGAAGGCGACAGTGCTTTAGATTGCATTTTTAATCTTCAATTGAGTACTCAAAAGGGTTCAAAAAGTAAGCATTCTTCTCTAGTTTATGGCCTTACTGCTGCTGCTGTAGGACTTTTAGTCGTTTTTGTTCTATTGGGAATAGGATTTTGGTTGTACAAAAGCAAACAATTGGCTAAGAAGTCTAGCTTGGAGCTGGATGAACAAGGGTCTAGACCACATGCCAGGCCAAACACTGGATCAATTTGGTTCAAAGTTCATGAGCTTGAGAAGGCAACTGATAACTTTTCTTCAAAGAATTTCATTGGCAGAGGTGGGTTTGGTTTAGTTTACAAAGGGAGATTACCTGATGGAAGCATGGTGGCTGTAAAGAAAGTAATTGAATCAGATTTTCAAGGCAATGCAGAGTTCTGCAATGAAGTTGAAATTATCAGTAATCTAAAGCACAGGAATCTTGTTCCACTTAGGGGCTGCTGCGTGGTTGATGAGGGTTTTGATGAGAGTTCAAGTGAGAGATACCTTGTTTATGATTACATGCCAAATGGAAATCTTGATGATTATTTGTTCCCTATACCATTTGATCAAGATGGAACTGTGAAGAACTCATTGACATGGCCTCAAAGGAAGAACATTATCTTGGATGTGGCAAAAGGCTTAGCTTATCTGCACTATGGAGTGAAGCCTGCAATATATCACAGAGATATCAAGGCGACAAACATATTGTTAGATGCAGATATGAGAGCGAAAGTTGCAGATTTCGGGCTTGCCAAACAGAGTAGGGAAGGACAGTCACATCTAACGACTCGAGTTGCAGGAACTCACGGGTATTTAGCTCCAGAATACGCGCTTTATGGACAACTAACTGAGAAGAGCGATGTTTATAGCTTTGGCGTGGTAGTTTTGGAGATAATGTGTGGGAGAAAAGCTCTTGATTTTTCTTTGGCGTCGTCGCCACGTGCGTTCTTGATAACAGATTGGGCTTGGTCGTTGGTGAAAGGTGGAAAGATAGGGGAAACTTTAGATCCTTGTCTTGTGAAAGATGGAGATTGTTCTAATTCAAATCCAAAAGGCATAATGGAGAGATTTGTTGCGGTTGGAATTTTGTGTTCTCATGTGATGGTGGCTTTGAGGCCTACCATTATGGATGCTCTGAAAATGTTGGAAGGTGACAGTGAAGTTCCTCAAATTTCTGATCGGCCAGTGCCTTATGGGCATCCTTCATTTGTTGGTGATGGCAGCAACTTCAGCATATCACGACATTAAGCAGACCTCAAATTCCGTGAGATCTCACATCGGTTGGGGGAGGGGACGAAGCATTCCTCGTAAGAGTGTGGAAACCTCTCCCTAGTAGATGCGTTTTAAAACCGTGAGACTGACGACAATACGTAACAGGCCGAAACGGACAAAATATCTACTAGTGGTGGGCTTGGGGCTATTACAAAAGGCATCAGAGCTAGACACTGGGCGGTGTGCTGTGAGGATGCTAGCACCCAAGGGGATAGATTGTGAGAACCTACATCTGTTAGGGAGGGGAACGAAGCATTGTTTATAAGGGTGTGGAAACATCTCCCTAGTAGGCGCGTTTTAAAATTGTGAGGCTAACGAGCAATACGTAACGGACAATATCTGCTAGCGGTGGGCTTGAGGTTGTTACAAATGGTATCAGAGCCAGACACCGAGTTAAGTGTGAGGACACCAGCCCTCAAGGAAAGTGGATTACGAGATCTCACATCGGTTGGAGAAGGGAACAGAACATTGTTTATAAAGGTGTGGAAACCTCTCCCTAATAGATGCATTTGTGAGGCTGACACTGATACGTAATGGGCCGAAACGAACAACATCTACTAACGGTGGGTTTGAAGCTGTTACAACTGTGTTGGAGTTTGAAGCTGTTACAACTGTGTTGGAGATGTATCAGACAGGCTTGTTGTAGTTTCTTCTAAACAGGGAACTGAATATCCATAGATATGTCAGATGCATTCTTAGTTTCTCCGAGAAGAAGTTTGGTTTCAAGTTAGCCATGCTCCTGATGGTTCTCAAGTCCAAGCTGTTGGATTTCTTTTCTTTGAACATAACAGGAACTCCAAAGACCTGCCTATTCGAAGCACTGATTGCTTTAAAGTTGAAAAACAACAGTAAAGTCTTGTTGCAAATGCTTTTTAAGCATTATTTTGCAACAATTGGAGGTGTGGACCATAATGGACGACCTCTTTCAAGAAGAGAAGACTTGAAAAGATCAACTTTCAAACATTATTTTGAGCTGTTCTCTGTCCTGATAGACTACATGATTGTCATTAATCTCATCATTTAGTGCACCAACAAAAGATGATGCCACACCAACCAACCAAACCAAAAAGCATTTTATGACCTTCAAACGTTCTCTCAAGGACCGTTTGGTTTAAGGTTTTCCTCGATATCCATGAGTACAAGATTGTTGGAATCAAATAGCTGTGGCTGGTTCTACACGAAAATGTTGTCAAATTTTCATAAGAATAAGTAAAGTTCGTACGAGATTAATATGATAAATCTTACCTAAGAAGTTTATGCATCATAACAGAAGGTTCCTGAGTGGAAATAATGGGAAGAAAATTCTTGCAAACTTCATTACTGAATAACAAAATCATTTGTTACTATACATGTCTTCATCAAAATTGCCAACTTTTCTCATAGTTAGTATTTAAGATACTGGAGGAAATGGATTTCTAAGAAAATTGGTGGGAGAGGCTTGTGTTCTGTGCATTATCAGCCTACAGAGGCACATGACCATCAGGCTTCCAAGTTAATTCTAAGAAGGCTAAGATGTGGTAGACATAGGAGAAGTTTGAATTCAAAAGCAGAATCCTCCCATCAGTCTAATTTAGCAGAATTTGAATGATATGATTATAACTCAGCCTTTGATTCCACATCTTCATCAATAGATTTCTTACTCACAGAAATTTCAGCGATCGATGAGACGGGTGTTTGAGGGGTCACATCACCTAATATTTTAGCTGTGAATGTTGTGGCCTCCGAATCGAGATCTGGCCATTCGGGAACGATTCTTCTCGCACCCTGATAATTGCAACTACTTTTAATGAATGACGAAGATGAAAAGGCATACAAAAAAAGATATGGAGTGATTCGGGTTCTAAGATACAGAATGAATTGAAGAAACAGTTGGACCTGAAGCTTCGGTTCTTTGGTCATGGGGTTGTTACAGAGATCGATGGTTTTCGCCTTCGATTTTGTGGTGTTGCCACACCATGACTCGCACCAGAGCCATTCTTGTGGTAGAGAGAAAATGGGCACAGTGTGCTGAGCGTAGTTAGGAAGATCCTGAAAAGCAAGCAAAATATATATTACAAAATCCGAGTTTCATGTCGGCAAATTCAAACCATTTTGATATATGAAGTTTCCTTAAAACTAGGAACTATGAACTATTACAAAATTCCAACTAATTCCCCTTCATTCCTCAGCCACTTGAGTATCAACGCCAGTGAAGGCTTCTCATATTTCAGATAAGACAGTCAACCACGCTAACATTAACTATGAAATGATACTATATACATTATCTCGATGCAGATAGAGTACTATATGGTAATATGGTAAATGAAAATGCACCATAGAATAGGAACAAAATAAGAAATCAGGGGATGTAAAACTTCAACCATTATCTCAATGCTAATCTTCATCACTTGGTATACTATTGCTTATAAAGCATTAAATGATACCAAATTTACTTGCCTGATCCAAATTGGATAAACTATTCGGATCCTTGCTTAGAGATTCATAGAAAACTCTTAGATGATCTCCTGCTGCTGTTTCTCGGAATTTCTTTAAATCAACAACATATAATGCACTGTAGGAAACGGGAAGAAAAATATTAATGCATCACATTATTAGTAACTGCATCACATTAAAATGTAAAAGCTCTATTAGGAGAAGACTTTTTACATAACAAAAGACTACAGCCACACAGACTTTTTACATATCAAATTTTCGGAAGAAATGGATTCTATTTGGCTCTACTGAACTACCAATGAAATGTAAGAGCCAAGATAAGATTTCTTGATGGAATTTTTCTCGAGGAATGAAAGCTTTACGACGCATTAAGTAGTTGGAAATGGAGATATCAGTGGAATTAATGCATGTGCATCATCTCAATAGATACAATCAACACAATACATCAGTCTCTACCTTATATGGTACGGTTTTCCACGTAGATGTTCTTTCCAGAATCCCTGTTCGTGAAAGGAAATAGTGAGGAGAGGGTGATACTGAAAATTGGTTATTGATAACAAGAAAGGATATTGATATGTACTTGTCTCCAAAACCTATATCCATCCATATCCTTATTATTGTCACAAAAGGGTGTATATGCTAGTGGTTTTCCCTTGATATTCATGTCATAGAGTTCCCCCATGTCTGTCCGAACAACCTGATCAGCATCAACAAAAATGACCTGCAGGTAACATACGAACAATATTTTTCTTAGACGAGTAAATAGGCATGCAACAGATGATTGAGATATGAATAAGTTCCACTAACATTTTGATATCTTGGTTCCTTCTAAAAATTAGTTACATGAAATCATGGTAGATTGGAGTATTATGATGATACAGTACCTTTTCCAACGAAAGAGGGAAGATAACATCAAGAAATAGAATCTTATATGCCCAAATAATCCTCTGCTTTTCTTTCTGCTTATGCAACCAAGTCGGCCACTTGTACGTGATTAGTTCAAAATCAAAACCATATTCTTCAGCCATGTGTGGTATTACATCCTGTTTATGTCACCAGAGAGCACAGGCATTAGGTGTCTAAACAAAATTGTAACGACCTAGACCCACTGCTAGCAGATATTATCCTATTTGGGTTTTTCCTTTCAGGCTTCCTCTCAAGGCTTTAAAACGCATCTGCTAGGAAAAGGTTTCCACACCCTTATAAAGGGTGTTTTGTTCTCCTCCCCAACCAAGGTGGGATATCACAAAAATATTCTTAAAAATAAATAAAATAAATAAATAAAAAGAGCCATGAGTTGCTATGTTAACCTTAAACTGAGGGGATAGGTAGTTTTTTATAAACCAGAACTTCACTGGCCGACGTGTATTCTTTAGGACACTCAAGATCATGATTTTAAGAAAGCGTTCATATCTGCCAAGAAATATCATCAGAAAATGGACCATTTTACAAAAATTCATAGACTGCATGAAGTAATAAATATTGATAAAATTTCACTGCCCAGAAGAGAATAATAATAGCCACCTCATATGTTCATGCTCATTACCTATGTGTTCAAATTGCATGCTAGTGTAAATTTTTGTCTTTATGAAAAGAAATTGTGGTAATTCTGGGATAATTCTTTGAAGTGACATTCATAGTTAGCTCACATGAGCGTATTATACACATTATACAAATGCCTAAAACCGAAAGGAAGGAAATCATACCTGCAGTTCTGTGTTATAACTATTTTATTGATATTGATCATTATATATTAAGTCCCAATGCGATTAAGAATAGGGTAGAGACCAGTACAGAAATGTAACTTTCACCACCAAGAAGAAACTGATCATATCTCTAGAAACGTTATACTTACAGGTGTCCAGAAGCAATGGAGAAAATGTTTATTGTCTTTCCATGGCGCCCTCCTTTTCTTTTCTCCTACAGAGAATGAGTCAAGATTAGAATTAAAGAACATCTAAAATCAATAGGAGCATAAATAAAAACTTCCCCACACATGGGCTTTTGTTCATACTATCTTTTAAACCCATAGCTGAATCAACTAAAGCATCAACTATCATCTGAATTGAGGGCTTTCCGCGAAAGAAAAGTTCATAATAGCACCAAAAGCAAAATAATAATAATAATAATAATAATAAAATAATAATAAATAAAAAATAGAGAGAGATAGAGAGAGAGAGACTTGAAAACAAAGATTCATCTAAAAGTAAAAGTCAATAGCCCAACGGTAATACTAAGATGTAAGGTCGAAGTCCGAATGATAATTTACATCAACACAAGAAGATAGTGAACAGATGAGTTGAGAACTCACCAATGTCGTGCTTTTAGACTTTTTTGATTGATCATTGCTTCCAATCAATCCAGTAGCCCATTTCAAAAAATTAGTATTCCAATTAGTATGGCCTTCCTGCAGAAGAAAATAAAGCCACAATTATAGCAATGAATCTATCGTGCACCAGGAAAGTTCTTCACCAACAATGAAATAGAAAAAGGTTAAATTATATATAGCTTTCAAGCTTATTTCTGATGGATACAATTTTGTGTGTTTTCCTAAACGTAAAAAAATGCCAAATAAGTCTTTGAGCGCTCAATTTTGTGTCTAATAGGTCCATAAAAAATTCAAAACTTTTATAAATTAACTAATCTACTTTGATATAAAATTAAATTTTATGTCCAACAAAATTGAAAGTTTATTTATTAGACATTTTTGAAAGTTTAGAGACCTATGAACTACAAAATTGAAAATTCATAGTTCTATCACGTGTATTTTAAAGTTTCATGACCAAATAGACACACACCTAAAAGTTCAACCGATAAAAAACAAGACTAATTGCTAACAATGATCACCCACTTTCTTATTCTCCAGCAAGTCGTCATCACCATCAGGAACCAACAATTTTTCATGCTCTTTTCCATTTTTCTTTTCTACTTCCATGTGAACAACTTTACCCCGCAAATCATCAATAATGATACGTTTTGACAAGGTTTTATCCTGACTTCTATCCCCACCTTGCTTCAGAAGATAAAGTTCAGAACTTCTACCGGGAGCAAGTTGCAGGTACCAAACTCCAGGAGAAATTTTCATTTGCCAATAACCCAAGTTTTCCATTACAAGAGTATCAACCAAATGTGGTGTGCTATTTGTACCAAGAATTAACTGGAGTCCTCGGGGAGGTTCTTGATTTTTCTCTGAACAATGGCCTGAAAATAAAAAAAAAGTTAATACATGTGGTAATACAGCCACCAAACCTTGTTTTTTCAGGCTGAGTTACGTCTACATTTCACCTAATATGTAAATCTGACACACTACTTACCAGTAAGAACAAGAGCTTCAAGTTCAAACACCGCTTGCAATGTCCGTGTGTCACCAATATTCTCAAGTAAAATATTATCCAGGTCATGACTGAAATTTGTGACGTGATGTAAGAAACAACATAAGAAGTTGAAATCAAAAGGAATATGGTATCGTTCAAACGAAACAATCTATTCAAACTTATGTCATTATAAAACGAGAATATACTGGTAGTGGATAAACATACACAGCAATAACAGGCTCAACAAGCCATGGCTCTGGAACATCAAGATTCATAGTTAATGTCTTAGACAATGGCATATTTGCAAAGAATGCTTTAGGGCCATTTACGGTTACATCTGTACTGCTGAAATCATCCTGAAATTGTCATGAAGTCAGACACCAATAATAGGGGAAAACTTGTTTTAATGTAAACCAAAGGCCTTATTTAATAATTAC